TGAACATAAAAATAAAAGTTCTAATTTGACTTGAATCACCTACATATATATATATCACGAGTTTGTATATTGAAATGAAACACCACTGATTATATTAAGCATCGAGAGTATGTGATTACAGGTTCTCAGTCCGGCACTATCTGTGCACAGTGACCATTCACGATCTCCTAACGCGTCTTCGAACAACAAACAGTCAATTACCCTGACCATCAATCACAGGATAAGTTCCTGTTCGAGGAATGCGTCCCCAGTACTCGGTACCTCGAATCAGAATCACGTAACGGAAGCGGTGCCGCGTACACACAGTTCTAATAAGCGATTACGGAAAGAGGAGAGTAGCAAGGACCAATGTCAATACTATCCATCGCCGCATGGAACTGAGTCGACGATAGAAGAAGTCAAGAAGCAACGACTCAACGGCGAAAACATAAGTGGTAATTTAAATTCGCAAGTGCCTAGCCCTACACTGAAGGAACGAATCTCCGATTGTTTCGCGGAGACTTCTCTCGAGACTACGAACGACGAGTCGGGCCCGAAGAAGCGCGGCCGTAAAAAGGGCAGTAAGTCCGCGAAGCGACAATCGTTTCTGGAGGACAGCGTGAAAGAGAAGCTGGCCAGTATCTCGAGGAATCCGAAACTGAAAACCACGCAAGAGTTACTAGCCGATTTGCAGGCGCGCGGAAGTAATTGTAGCCCCATCGGCAGCGCCAATGCCCTACCTAGTCAAAGCGTCGCGGAACCGCCGAGCACGGAAGATGTTCTGCGAGGTAGTAACAATGAGCAGGTGTCCAAGCATCTGCGCTGCTCAAGCCAGAAGAACTCCCAGAGTCTTCACAGAGGTCTGCCCTCCTCGGATACGTCCACTGGCAAAACGCAAAAAGCGGCTCGGTTGAGAGCCGCGGAGAATTGTCGCGAGTCGCCCTCGCCTGAGTCGTGTCAGGACAGGCTGCGTGAAGACGATAGGATATCAGGAACCACCGCCGAGACGTCGACGTGTCGATCACCGTTGCAACGGGACCTCACAGTCGAGGAAATATTGGCCAAATTACCGCCCTTAGATCCCAGCTCGATAGACTGGGGTGAAGATGAAGAGCGGGACGACGCCGAATGTTTTCCGCCACCGCGGGATGCTACCGCCGAGGATCTCGAGAGGTTACACATACAGTGTATCGAAGGACTTAACGGGAACTTCCAGCCAAGACTGTCGATGGCGACCGCGTGTTCCGATGGTGACGAGCGCTCGAATGCCAGGGACGGAGGGAACAGAGTGTCAGGATTGTCGAACGTGGATAGTGTAAAAAGTGTGCATAACAACCAAACTGACAATGTGGAATTTCGGGAGTGGCATCAGATGCTAGCGAGGCCCAGTTACCAGGGCGAGATCCTCAACATAATGCCTTATGTTATTATCGATTAGTGATTTTATCATCTTATTCTATTATTATCCTTTGTCCCTTCTTCTCGCCCCCCCCTTTCCCTCCCTCCTTGAAAAAAGAATTGTGAGGAGAATCTTTAGATGATTAAAAACAGTCAAGCTGGTCGAGGCGAATCACTCGGTCGAGATTGGTCTTAAAACTAACGATTTCTATTGCGATTTCTGATTGTGCTCTTCATTTCTGTTTACGCTGGCGCACTATACCGCAACCATTCTTCTTGTCATCATCATTCCCATTAATATAGCCGCTATCTCGCTGATCGTACAAGTGCAACCCCGAGCGGCAAATAGCCATTCTTCTTACCGTCATCATCGTTTTCGACATCAACATCGTCGTATTATAATTATTATATTATAATATTAATATTATAACTTGTATAATATTAATATTATTCCTTTTTATTATTATTAATATTATTGTTATTAGTATTATTATGTGAATTATTAGTACTGTTCTCTGCTTCTATTCCTCTTCCCCCTCCATTACTCTCATAATTATTGTTATTGCCATCATCACTCCATTATCATCGTCACCATCATCATCATCATCATCATCATCATCACAACCATCGTCACTATCATTATTATCGTTGTGCTAACGATAAAGAGATTAAGAGACCATTAGGAAAAAAATAGAATCAATGCTAAATTATCATGGCAAAAACAGCAACGTGATTGATTTTGTAATCGCACTGTATACGCGGGATGAATTGTTAATTGTAAAATATAAATTACACAGATATGGAATAACGAATATACCGCGGGATACGCATGCTGCGATACGAGTACTGCATTATTTTTACACAATAATAAAAATAGGCGTCAAAATATGGCTCCTGATTTCTCATTTTTGAGTATTCAAAGACACAGGTCGCTTCTCTTGCGCTTTAATTGGTGTTACTTGCGAGAAATTGGTTTACATTTCTTTTTTTTAATCTATCACCGTGTTCAACCCAGACATAGAGTTAATCCTAAATTCTGTCGAGAGAAACGAAAGGAAGAGACGCTAAAAAGACAGATGCGAGAATTACACTTGAGAACACGTGGAAAAACATGCAGACATAAAAAAAAGACATAAATGCATAAACAAGATTCAAGATAAGACGTTTGCCGTTCTTCAAGTATTTCACAAGACTGTTACACAGGGATTCTGTCGCGCGACTGTAGGAAGCAATGCGATTTCTTCAAGCTATCACTAAGTTAGGTACACCGGTGCCTTAATTAAGCAAAAGAAAAGGAAGGAAAGGGCGGAAAAAAAATATATTTGTCTAAGTGCGTCATAGAGATTTTCTACTCAAAATTTCTTTCGTTTATTGCACTTTGCGTTGCGTTTTACGGCGGACGTATCGTAAAGTCACACACATCATGCATCACCAAACGGCGGAGAAAAAATACTGCGTTAACGATTAAGTACGGACGCGACACACAATTTTCTCGTAAGTGCAATACCGGACAGGCTGAAATTTGATAATACACAAGATGTGTCTCAATGAAGTTGCAGAGCTGAGTGAATTATAATAAAACTATAATATTTTATTAGACTCTGATATAATTAACAATTTAATCTCGCTAATAGTCTTCAGCCATCAATAGCGTTCAAAAAAATGTACACTTTCAACCGGGAATTTAGAAGACGCTCATTCAGACATTTACATATGAAAACTTTGTCGACGGATATACTTTAATGAATTATTTTGTTGAAGATGGCTCGGAAGGAGCCGAAACGTTCAAATAATTAAGTCGAATATAATACAGAAATACGTGCGAACAAACAATTTGTATGTATAGTAACAAATTAAATTATTAATTTGGAGCACTAAAAACAGCGTAGAGAATTACTCTCAGTTGCCCGTATTAGCGAGATTAAATTGTTAATTATAATAAAACGAAATTCTGAAACAGATGCGTGCCTGGCTTGTCTCCCTTAGGACTGCAGGGACTCGGACCGAAAAATTCCAGTTCAAAGGCTAAATCAAATTTTTAGTTCCAGTTCTTTTGTTAGATAATGTTACCGGGAGCGTTTGAATTTCGGTTTTTTTCTCGGTTTTGGTTTTCGATAATTATATACGTGTAACGATCATTATTATCACTAAAAGAAGTGAAACTGAAACCGAAACCGAAAATTGGGTGTAGCCTCGGACCATAATCTTAACCAATTTTAATCCGAAATGTAATTTCGGTCCGAGTCCCTGCTCAGAAATGATCCCTGTCGAACTCAATATTACGATGAAGCATCTAGTCCAGTAAAGAATCGAGAGAATTGTTTTGTAGAGTTGCGTTCAATACATTTGTGTTAAAACCACCTGTCTGCATTTGGACGAAATGATAAGTCCTTTAATTCTCAGCTGTTTCTCATCCTCGTCATCCTTTTAAAATTTTTCGTGACCGTCCGCTTGGAGAAATACGTGCGTATTGTTCACAAAGGATCCTGTAACATATAGATCAAGAGCCATGGCGGAAGAAACTGTATTTAAGTATACAAATTATCCATTACCCGAAAGCTACGAGAAGCTCTGAAAGTGGCAAGTCACGAATTTCTTCCAAACCCTTTGTTTTATGATAATCCATTCAGTCTCGGAGCTTTTACGACCCGTCTCTTGTACATTTCTGGTGTGAAAATAAATCAAGTTGAATATACTCTTATCCGTCAAAGGCATCGTTTATTATTCGTAACGTGATCTTTCCAGACAGTTGAAAAAACTGTATATACCATTTCGTCCCACATGGAACGAGAAGTAGCGAAAAACGGTGTGAAAATAAAAAAAAATTTGCCTGTATGTTTAATTCGTTAAGAAATTAATTTTCCGATCGGTATATAATAAGACACACAACTAGCTGTATCGATGCTATGTAAAAGTAATACGAGACGCGCCGTTTTTCAAAATTCGCGTCTCACGTGGCTGACGATTTATGTGATCGTCCGTATATTTCTTCAAAGAATCTCGGAATTCGAGCATATAGCGCATATAGTTTTATTTTTTAAAACATTAAACTTGAAGATATTATCTATCTTGGTAATATTTCAAATCAACGAAAATGCACGAGAATTTATAGAAACGAGCGGAGAACAGACTGATTACTGTAAATTTCTCTTTTTGATTTTACTTCGCCAGTCTCGATTTGAAATGTTACGAAGAACTTGTTAACAAAATGTCAAATGTCGAGCCGATGAAATTCGTTCTATTTTTATTTTCAGATTTTGAAACATTCTTGATATTTAAAAGCTTTAAGCCGATGGCTGTTTTATTCAAAGTTTGAACCGCGCGATTACGCGTAAAATTGTTTCATTATATATATATATATATATGCAGCGATTATGTCTATAATTAATCGCAACGTCATTTTAGTTCACCGAAGTATATCTATAAAGTGTGTAGTTTAATTTAAGCAATTTATTGATTTTCTCTGATGATATTAACACTTATTTTAATTGTAACTTTTGTTTCTCTTTTTCTTAAAACATTTAATGTTTTATTTTGAGCAATTAGAACAAAATGGTTTCGTAGTCATATATATGTATAATTTACAGAAGTTATTTTATTATACAATATAATACAATCTTCTCCCAAATTGTCACATATATGTTCTATCGATTTCTTATACTTTCTGTTTTTACACTGTCTGTTTTGCTGTTTTTAGCACTATCAGAGTCCGTTATTTGTTTCGCAGGTTCACTCCGTGGTAATTTCAGTGGTCGTTTAAATGCTTTTTGCGGTATCAATGCTGCAACGACGAATCTGCTCTCTTCATTGACGAAATTGAACACCGTGCATGCATTGTATACGGAAAGTATTTCCGTATTGATTCCAAGCTTGTGTACACATTCTCGAAGACTTTTCATATAAGCAAAATCATACTGATCATCCAATCCAATGACCAAGAGATCAGGCTTTGGCTCGAGGACAGTGAATAACGAAAGCGACGCCTCGTTTATGTACTTGCCAGACTGAATGTTCCAGCAGATAGCTTGTTTGGGAAAGAGAATTGTTGGCCCCAATATTTTTATACCGGTATTCAACATGAATCCTATCTGAAAAATAAGAAATCATAATCTGGAGTTAATGTACTTTGTCTCAATATAAGATATTGATGATTCATATAAGATATTGATGAATCCTTTGTATACATGATGATTTTCTGGTGCTTTACTATACACAATAGGTCATTCGTGTCCTGGATTATGGGCTTTCTACAATAAGCTTTACCTAAGCTTTAAGTCTTAAGCTGTAAAAAATTGACCAATCGTAGTCGATTATTTTTCTCACATCCGACTGTGGTCAATTTCTTAAGATTTAAGGCCGATATTCACAGTTAGATTTTATATTCAAGACCATCTTAAGTACAATCTTAAGAAGTCATGAACCAATCAGAAGGCTGCATTAGCAGCGACTTAAGATATTACTTAAGACGGTCTTAAAATAAGAAATCGACTACGAATACCGGCCTATGACTTAAAACTTAGACAGTGGCTTATTGTAGAAAGCTTATTAATTTTCACTATTTTTACAAGAATACAAAAATGATTAAATGATTCTTTCGTACACTCTAACATCTTTAAAAAATATTTATGAACCCAATAATTAAGAACGGAGTGAAATAGATTTAAATTTTCAAAATCCTAATACATTTTTATTCATTTATAGGAAATGTATGAAGCATATTTCTATGTCTTTTAAAATCTAAAAAAAATTCAGTTCTTTAAATGCATCGTGAATACAAAATTGTAAATAGGAAATGCAGTTTTTCAATCCAATTGAATCTAAAAAAAGTGAAAATAAACCATGAATTACGAGACGTGCGAACGTCTTTGATGTAGCAGACAACACACTAGTCTGCTATTTTAGAGATTCCGGGTTCGATCTCCGGCAGAATTGAAAATTCGTAGACTCATAGCTCCTCGGAAGGCAATGGCAAATCACTTGCTTGTCCAGGAAACCTCCTTACTAAAAATTGCCGAGAAATTGCTATTCGGAATCGGCGTTTAGAAGACATAAAGAAGATTATGAAATCATGCTAAAGTATACATTTGGATGGATTCAAATGGATTAAAATTTCAATCCATTTTAATCCATTCTCATTTACTAGGAAGTTGTGTATTTAAAAAAAAAAGAAAAGATTATTCAGCTCCTATTACATGTTCCTAGTATTTTAAAGAAAAGAAATATGCAGGACACAAATGACCCAATTATGTGTACTAAGGATTAATAAATCATTATTCTAGATAAATTAATGAGATTACCTGGTCACAATGATTCACGTAGATTTGAGAGCCCATCTCCTTACTGATGAACGTCACGGTGGTTTTACCAGGTCCTTCGTATGCATTTTTATCGTGTGTAAGGTATAAATTTCTACAAATATCGAATATATTTGATGAAACCAACATTTAAGATTTTATGAGCTGAAGAGCTTTAGAAAAATTAGAATAAAAATGAAAAATTAAGGAAAAAAAGTATATATATTTTTATAATTCTAAATAAAGAAATGACTGTATTTGCGTTTTCCTCAATGTATTTTATACGCGCAAATCAGTTTTAATAATTACTTTAAAATTCTCTTAATAATAATTACCATCAAAAAGTCATTTAATCAGTCATCAATCACTCGCACTACACTGAATTAGTACATAAAGGGTTGATCATATAAAATATCTGAATGCAGTAGCATAATTTGATCAACTTTGACAGTGAAATGATATATTTATATTTTTTAAATAACGTGACAATTAAGTAGTCAATTGTTCAAAATATTTACATATCTTTTTATATTTAATTTCCCTAATTTCCCTATACATTAATTATTAGCAGCTTCGTGCAATATGCACTAATCTAGTGCAGTGTAAGTAACAAAATTCGTAAAAAATTCTCTTAAATAACATCAAGCAATACTCAGAGGTGTTAGAAAAAATAATCTTTTGTCTTTTTTTTATAACAATCCGACCCGGTTCCACATGTTTCGTATATCACGCACCTGCAACCTCGCAACGTTGGCCTCAATTGACATAATCTGCCGATCACGTTCATTGTATTATTTCGAGGCAGGTCCACGGCGTCGCGAAGTATAGATCTGCAGCAGCCAGACGGAGATTCAGGTTAGTTTGACTTTTTACGATTGCGTTGGATTGCGTGACGGACCACTATTCAGCAAAAACATTATAGGTTAGGATAGGTTAGGACGTGCGCTCCGATTTCAACCGCTGTTTCCTTCTCTCTCTCTCTTTCTCGTTCCATCTCTCTTCTTTCCTCTGACGCCGTGGCGGCGTGAGAAAATTCGTTTTTGTAATCGACTTCCACCGAGCGTGTTTCCGTTGATCTTTGGACGACTTACCGAAACAAGTCGGACACTCTCTTCTCGCGCGGCGACGTTTCCGTAAAAACTTCAACGCGCGAGCGAGAAACGACGATCCGTAATTCATTGAGACGCGGTGATTTAAATTTGCATCATGGCGATGCGCACTCGGTCGCGATGGACGCCCCTTCCCGTTTTTTCAGTATATTTTTAGCAATATCGCGTATAAATACTCCGTCGAGAAGAAACGTTATTTCAATGTAACACCGATGAGCAGCAATCGAATCGAAAATGAGCAAGGGCTGCTGGAAATTCGACGAAGAGGACAAAGGTGAGCGCGTGATGCTGTCTCTCTCTCTCTCTTTTTCTCTCTTTCTCTCT